CCTTGTCAGCTGCCTCTCGCTGAACATCCCTTGATTGAAAAATCGAAGGAGCCAGGCGAAAACTGTCATCCAAAAAGTAGTTACAACCAATCAGATTTAACTGTTGCTTGAGTATTTTGACAGCTGCAGGGGCTGGCTGTCAAAATACAATAGGCACAGTGGCAGATTCATCCATCCTAAATGTATAGCAAGTGTATGGTCAGCCATTTGGTTGAAGCATTTTACAAATCATGATTGAGTTGATTGTAGCCGTATGAGTGCACTTGCAACAGAAACAACTGAGAACTGTCCGTTATACTTTTTTTTTTTTACACTAACATACAATTTTCAGGACAAGCTTTTGGGTATGTCCCCTTTTTAGGTGTCCTACTGCTTTTTTTTTTTGTACCTGAAGTTGATGTAAACCCCAACTGGTTGACACTGGCTTTCTGATTACAAAGATGAATACCATTCCTGTACAATGTGTTCTCCATATAGCAGTCTTTATCAACCTTTTCAACATAGAGGAACCCTTGAAATAACTTTCAGGGAACCCCTATTAAAAATTACTATCTACAAATAATGATACATTAGTGTGATGGTCAGTGGTTATAATGCTCCTTACCAGGGGCGGACTGACCATTTGGAAACTCGGGCACTGCCCGAGGGTCCAGGGTCAGTAGGGGGCCCCATGAGATGCCCCTGGTACCTTTTTCATAGGCTTTTTTGAGTTTGGGCAAGGACACAGGGGCCCCATGATCCCCTATTGCCCGGGGGCCCCATGAGTTGTCAGTCTGCCCCTGCTCCTTACGCTTGTAGTCATTGGGAATAATTACCCACTTACAGATAGCTTAAAAGATCATTGGTGTCGGTGGGAACTTATCTGAGAGGCAGACTCATTGGTGTCAGTGGGAACATATCTGAGAGGCAGACTCATTGGTGTCAGTGGGAACATATCTGAGAGGCAGACTCATTGGTGTCAGTGGGAACATATCTGAGAGGCAGACCTTTCTCATTACTCAAGGAACCCCTGGTAACCTCTGGAGCAACCCTAGGTGAGAAACCCTGCCTTATAGCTTCAACCAGGGGCATGTGACAGGGTAACACTGCATGAGCACAATTATAATATAGTTGCCACTGTGGAATGGAAATGCCTGAACAAGGACCTTCATGACAGGATTACCTAATATTATTTTTAGTAAAAACTAAATATTTCATAAAATTAAACACAAATTTTGAAATTGTATTACCATGTTAACATTTATATGACATTTTAGTGATCAAGTTTACATTTGCTTTAATCACATCTTTTTTTTTTTCTTATAGTAAAGTCAAATATAACAATTTCTCCAGACACCATTTTCCAAGGAGACATAGTAACAATTAATTGTAAGTTCAGTGCGGCTGGCAGCATTTCTTGGTATTTGAACTGGACAAAGCCAATTTCAGACAAGCAAAAATACAGCACCTCTTCCGCTCAGCAAGACACAATGGTGCAATATACACTGATGATAAGAAATGTTAGTGATACTGATAAAGGTGAGTTAAGATTCACTACGGCTCTAAAACACATCTGGACATTAGGCTGTGAGTAAGCAATGTTTTCTGTTTGTTTATACCCCTGGAACAAAAGAAGTGAAATACAAAGTTGTGACCCGCATTCTCCATCAACTGATAAGTAAAAACTGCAATCTCTGCTCATGGTGAAAGATTTTAAAAGTTTATTTCAGGGAGAAATGTCACAACAGTAAAAGTAAATGTTAGAAAGCAGATATATTAAGCCACATGCAGGTCATCAGTCATAGCAAAAAGTCAGCTAAATTGATTTTTCCGTAAGATGACTGATACACCATTGCCAAAATTATGTTGCTGCAGAAACTCCGAACTGTACTTATTAAAGTGATTGTAAAGGTAAAACATTATAAAAAATAATAACAAATTATACTTACCTGCTTTGTGCAATGGGTTTGCACAGAGCAGCCCTTATCCTGTTCTTCTCGAGTCCATATGACACACAGAACATGGCTCTTCCCCACCTCACACTTCTTCCTCATTGGCTCTCTCTGAACCAATGAGGGAGAGAGGCGACTGTTCTCATGCACATTGCTGGATCGAGATCAGGCTCAAGTAAGTATTAGGCGGGGGGGGGGGGGGGCTGCAAACTGAAGGTGGTTGAAACCACTTGAAGCTGTTTTGGTGAAATTTACTTAAAAAAATTATTTTTTTTCTTTATTTTATAGTGTGTTTTTTTTTTTTCTTAGTGGTGTATTTGGGATAGTTCAGTATATTTGATTTGATGTTTTTTGTAACACCTAGGGTGCTTTCACACTGCCAGAGCTGGTGCAGCGTGACAGTGTACCTAAGGATAAATAAATAGAAAGTGAGCGCTCAAAACCAGCAGCTAATGCACTTAAGGTAATCTCAGCAAACCTTAAAACATGAAAAAACTTAAATAGAAGTGCAGCGCTAAATAAAATTGATGAATAAAAATAATAGTGATAATATATAGAATTAATAATAAAATGTCCCATACATGATAAACATGTATAATTCAGCAATAAAATAAATTAATAACAGGTGATCCACTAGATGTAGCCGTATATCCAGAGAAGCTGTGCCAGGAACAAGTGATACAAATGCGCACTCACCGAAACGCGCTATAGTTAAGCGCATGCAGTCAAAATCCACTCAGAACCCTTAGGAAGGTGGAGAAGGTGAGCATCCATCTAGAGGTAAGTACCGGTAATCCTGGTATTCTGTCTCAGTGGTATGCGGTGAAGGCTTCCAGGTCCAGAGATCCCCTTAAGGCTGAATGGGTGCATGTACTGGATACAGGGCTCCCTCCCTCTGGTGGTGGTGGTTAATAGTGAGATGTCCTGAAAATCAATTAGCTCCAATGGGAGCCAAAAACGGTACCCATAGTGTAGTATGATTAAAGACTTTATTTCCAAAAAGGTGCAGTAAAAAACGGGTAGTAAACTCTCCCAATGAATGAATGACAGATGCAGAGTAGTACTGTCCCCTTAGTAAAGATGGCCGCCGGGCCTCCTCGTGGCTCCGGGCGTTTGTGACGTCACGCTCTGTTGGCTCCTCCTGTTGGCTCACCATGGTGACACTGTACTACTTGTGGGGGGTGATAAAGATTTTTTTTTTTTTTTTAACACTGGTTGCTTTTACACCCATAAAGGCTGTAAAAGCAATCATTTCTCCTTCTCTCTAGCTGCATTCTTGCAGCCATTGAGAACTACTGAGTGAGCTGTGATTGGTCACAGCTTGTCACATGGTACAAGGCTGTTGTGAATAGCCTTGTACCATGTGACCTCTGTGATCATTCACAGATTTCACATGTAGTAAGCAATGATGTCAGAAGTGACATCTTGCTTACTACACTGCATGTGATCACTGATTGACTGTCTGACGATCGGTGTTCCACTGTGTCCAGAGGACACAGAGGGCATCGGATCGCAGTGCTGCGCGCACAAGCAGGGTGCGGGGAGACCGTTTTATATACATGCACTGCAACTGTCCGGCCGTTTATATACAACGGCTGGACGGGAGGTGGTTAATAGCAAAAAAAGTCAAAAATATTGTTTTTTTCTCAAAATTGTTAGTCTTTTTTTTTATAGTGTAAAAAATAAAAAATGCAGAGACGATCAAATGCCGCCAAAAAAAAGCTCTGTTTATGGGAAAAAAGGATGTAAATTTAATTTGGTTGCAGTGTTGCATGACCGCGCGCAATTGTCAGTTAAAGTAACATAGCGCCATAACACAAAAAAAATGGCCTGGTCAGGAAGGGGGGTAAATCCTCAGGAGGGTAAGTGGTTAATGTCCATAGTCTAGATGCAGATTTTTTTTTTTTCTATTATGTGCCAAATTTGAGCTGCCCAGGTTTGTGACAGGTGTAAAGCAGAATTAAACTGCATCTGAGCAGCACAAACCAAGAAGCCTATTTCATTACATTTTAATAAGAAACCTCACCCATCCATCCATGTCTCTGTGCTTTATTTTGCTGATAAGTCACTTTGAAAAATACCCCCCTAGCATTTCTAGCCACGGTCATCTTGAGTAAGAGCAGATGATTCATTTAGCATTTACATACTGGAGCCGGGAGGGTGTGCTTAGCTGAGAAAGCCCCTCCTCGAGATGAAAGGAAAAAAATGGGATTTATGACATTATTTTGGCCTAGGCAGAAACCAGGCAGCAACTGATAAAAATTAAAAAAAAGTTTAAAACAAGTAAATACAGTATAATATGCCTGACCAGGGGACTAAAGATGGCTTGTAAGCCCCACTAAACCAATACCTACCCCCATCCTTAACCTAAGTAACCACACTGACAACAAATAGAGTTAATGGCCCAAAACCGGCCTTTTATTACAACCGTCAATAAACATTTTTTTAAATAACAGAAAACACAGTATAAACATACATTTTTTCAAGGTCCCAATAGGCATCAAGAACACAAATACCTGCGTCCTACTTAACTAGGCCACATTTGTTTGCAGGGAAATATGTATTATTTTTTTGATTGTAGGCTGTAATTTTTTTAGGAATAACTCACTGAAATCTGTCCGAACAAAGAGTCTAGTAAACATCCCGGGTATGATAAAACTTAAAACACGAAATCATAAAAATTATAATTTAATAAAAAATCATAAAAAATAAATAATATAATAATAAATTTAATGCAATAATATAATCAAACCAAAAACACTGAAATTTTAAATATAGAGCCAAGTTCACACATTTGCTGAGCTTAGTCGCAGAAACGTTTTCAGTGTCTGATGACGAATTTCCCCACAAATCATTATCACTCAATTCTGCAAGTGGTTCTAATTTACTATCGCTGTTCTCTAGCTGATCTAAAACTGCTTTTGACCTAAAGGGACGCTTTTTGGACGCCATGGATGTTTCTCAGTTTCCAGGCAGAAAGAACAGTAAAAATGCAGGCAGGGCACAGGACAAAGCACTCGGGACAAAATGTATGTGAAATGGTTTGATACATAGTAATGTTTTTACTATGTGATTTTAGTGAATGTCACTTTTTGTCATTTTCAAATTTCCCGCCGTTCCGTCCCCCGTACGTCCCGAATGGGACGCAGGGAACGGAACCCAGATGACAGATGCCGGCATCCACCCAGATTACACATTGCCGGGGACACTGCAGGAGGGACATCGCGGGAGCGCTGGACAAGGTAAGTGATCGAGGGATCGCGGAGCAGCGCCGCATGGTAAGCCCGAGTGTAGCTCGTGGTTACCGCTTGTGGTACTGAAACTTTATCCCGAGCTACACTCGGTTAATACCGCCAGGGATTTTAGCTAACGAGGACCTTGCACCCCCGCCCGAACGTCCCCCCAGCACCAATATGGCACAACCACCACTAAGACAAACCATCAAACAACGGGCAGGCGGGAGCAAAAGTTTTGCCTTGTGAAAACCCCCTGCCACACCCTGTAAGACCACCCCTCATATATCCCCCACTCCTTCATTAAAACTATTTAGACTCCCCTTATGCTAATGGAACACTGCCTCTCCCAACCCCCTTTAACCCCTGTCATGCCGGCCCTTCATTCAGGTCTTCTTTCTTCTTACTCCGGGCCTTCCTTTCCTATCTCTTTACTAATGCTAGCAAGTTAGGGATAAAAAATATTTAATGTTGAAGCTGAGTTGCACTTTAAGAGGGGGGTGGCTTTCTAAGGGTACAATAGTAAAACCTTCCAACCTGATCCAGATTCGGGTGAACAGCCACATGGATTTGTCTGCCCACTGCTTGTCTTGATGTCAATAGATTAGTGGATTACAAATGGATTCCTCGTGTCCCTCTTGACTAATCATAGATGTACTCAGCACTTAGGTAATATCATTATTCTGTTTCCTGGTACATATAAACATTTTGGAATTTCCCCTTTCTATAGGTAATTATACCTGCTCTCTCATGGCTGGTGGAACACCACTAAATCTAACCACAACCATCAGCACAATTAAGACATTACAGATTAATCCTTTGAATGGAATCTCTGAAAAGGACACATACTGCGATGGCCCTGCATTTAGCCTGACATGCTGTAGTGATGACATCGGTAAATTTAATGTGACGTGGACTATCCGAGTGACTCTTCAGGTAAGGTCCCTTCATCATTTTTAATTTTAATGGGCTAATAAACTCAAAATGTGATATTAAGGATTTCCAATTTTAAAACTAAATGTCCAATTTGCCTGTGAATTCTATGTGATCATAGGACATCTTGTTACCCCTTCAATGGGTTTTGGGGTTTACTGAAATAAGTTGTTTGCAATTAGAGGTTTCATTTGCAGTATCTCAGTGGTATCTCAGTGCAGCAATCCGGATGAACCAGTTCTGCCCGGAACCTTAGTGTAGAAATGGTAAAGGCTTTAGTCGGCTGGGCAGTGTAAATAGCAAGACTAGGATCTCACTAATGATTTCAGGCAGACTGTCTAAGATCAAGTCCCCTTTGTTTACTATATAGGGCTTTATTCACTAATCTACAGTATAGCATGTTCATTGTTGTAAAAGGTCACTATTCTCATGAGTGTATTTTTCAGTTCACATATTGTATCTGAACATAACAGTTGTTCAATAAACTGATCCTATAACGTGTTATCACAAGAAATGCCCATTTGAACAGGTCCATCTTTATGTCTTATGTCTTACTTTTAGGTGAATACCAATAGGGTTGATATATGCACTGGTGTCTTTTATCACTGGGAATCCCCATGGGCTTCTTCCCAATGAGTTCCCAGCTCCACCCCACCACATCATGTAGCCGGTCTGCATCTGGATTTTCCATTTTTATTTTCATTGTTTCACTGTACATTTTCAGTGGGCGTTGTGAAGCTTCCTTCTTGGGCCTTCATATTCCATCCGTGGCAGAGGCTTAATATGCTACAGTTCTATTAGCTTAAACAGTAATTCCACCATTGCTGAGAAAAAAACATTCCCTTCTGGGTGATCTCTGTACGCTTCAGGGATTTTAACAAACTTTGTTGCAGAGTCATACCTTTTGTTATTCTGAAGAAAAAGCTGTTTGTCTGTGTCTATGTGGAGAGTGAATCTGTATGAGAGTGGTTTTATAATTATCAAGTCACCTGTTGTACCTGTAGGGCTCTAATGAGGAAATTGGCAAGATCTGCATCCTTTAGACATGATTTCCCTTGCTGCGAGTATCTCACCAAAAATGACATTTTTGTTGCAGGGGAGGCCAAAAATCTGACTTGTATCTTAGTGCAGACTTCTTGGAAAATCAGTGAGCCAATCACTCAAACAGGAAATTACATTTTCAGGTTGTAATATTGCATTGCATTTTACAGTAAATTACAGCACTGCAGATTGAAAAGGAAAGGTAATTTTTAAATAACATTCAGCCCAGGTTCACACTGATGCAGTGTGACACATGGCATGTGATTCGCACAGGAACCACACCGCATTCCTGTGCAAATCACATGTGATTTCTGTGTGCAGTACAATTTGAGTCATACATTTTGTATGGTTCAAATCATACCACATCCACACCAAAAAGGTGCAGGACCCTTTTTTTTTGTCCACACCAGAATCAGAACACCCATGCGATCCAATTCTACACATCGCTCCATATTTTGCATACTGATTTTGGGGGTGTCCTTAACTTAAAATACACACCCGCAAGCGGTTTATATGAACGGGGTTGCAATTACAATGTGGTGCAGAAATCGCACAGAAACCGATACAAATTCCGCACCGCATCAGTTTAACCCAGGCTGTATTACAGTATGACTTGAGTCACAATTGTATATGCTACATTTTGTTTTATTTGCGCATTTTTTTCTCACAAAAAATGGAGTTACCCTTTAAAGAAGACAGTCAGTGACTAAGTTGGCTAGCATCCACTATATATATATATATATATATATATATATACACAGTATATCGGTTTTGGGTGGGCTGGTCAACTGCTTTCTTACAGGTGGTTTTTTTTGGACAGGAGTCCATCAGCTGCTATAGGCTTTAGATTAACTTTAGATTAACTTTTGTTGTCAATTTCCCTGTAGTTATTTCTCCATGGATTTCCTTTGCTGTCTTTTTTTTTTGGAAAAGTGTGTAATAAAATTTAACTTGTATATACACATTTTATAATTCTCACCAGGAATTGTAGGGACTAAGACAAGCAATGGAAGTTGCAGTATATACACTCTGACCCCAAGTCTCACAGAGTCCTGTCCCTCTTCCGTTTTCTACACCTGTAATTTTATCCACAATGAAGGAGCAACCTTTTCAAAGACAATAAAGGTGTACTACATTAAAAAAGGTATGATATTTTTTTTATTTCTATAAATGTATCCATAGGAAGAGCTTGTAGTTCCTGGACCTTGAACCCCCAGCAGCTTTCCCTCCAATACATTGTCATCACTAGGGAGGAGTGAAACTAGGAGTTTTTACTTTACTACATTTTTGGGAAAAACCTGGACATTTTGCTGGCATTTTTCCATTTGGCAAAATGCATTGGAGTCAATAGAAAAGGCAGGATCAATGTGTTTTTTAAGAGTGCCACGGGCTTTAAATGGCGCCTAAGAGTTATAAAAGCTCTTTTTAAAAAATGTGAACCAGTTCTTGTGCCAAGAAATGCCCCTCATTAGTTAACAATTTGAGGTTAGATACTGAGGAACAGAAAAAAACCTAAATGTTAAGCATTGCGTACAAACAAAGTCATTTGCTATTTCAGCGTTGTGAACATTTACAAAGCAATTATCACCTAAGCAGTGTGCAAAATAACTCCACTCATCTCTAGTTATGTCCTCACATAACATTTCTGGCATGTATCCCCTGTAGTCAGATCTACCTCCATCCTCTGTAGCCAAGTCTACCTCCATCTACTGCATCCACATCTACTTCTAATCCCTGAAACTAAATCAACCTCCTTCTCCCTGCAGTCAAATCTACTTCCATCCCCTGGAGTCAAACCTACCTCCTTCCCCTACAGTCAAATCTGCCTCCTTGCCCTACAGTCAAATCTATTTCCATCCCCTGCAGCCAAATCTACCTCCTTCCCTTACTGTCAAATCTACCTCTTTCCCCTGTAGCCAAGTCTACCTCTACCTACTGCAGCCAAACTCACCTCCATTCCCTGCATCCAAATTTACTTCCATTATCTGAAATTAAATCAAACCCCCCCCCCCCTGAAATCAACCTCCATCCCCTACAGCCTAATCTACCACTATTCCCCTGTAGCCAAATTTATCCCCTTGATTCTAGCTCTATTAGTGCACTTTTATCAAAAACAGTTGGGTACTATCCATGATACTTTTTTTTTTCAACAACAGCCAAATTTTCAGGAAAAGCTTTCAGAGTGGTACATCCCGAGAACTTACCTCCATCCCCTGTAGTCAAATCTACTTCCATCCCCTGCAGCCACATCTACCTCCATCCCCTGAAGTCAAATCTACCCCCCCCCCCCCCCCGTCCCGTAGCCAAGTTGATCTCCATTCCCTGCAGCCAAGTCTACTTCGATCCCCTGTAACACGTTCTAGTATGGCATCACTCCTATGGGTATTGCAGCTGTAACATGGGATAGAGAAGGCATTGTGTAGCTGTGAAACAATAAAAAGAAAAATTCCCAGCTCAGCTTGCTGACCAGCCTGCTTCCAACCGAATTGTCCTGTCTTAACAGTTTTCATTAAAAACAAATACAATACATGCATAAGCCGCACAGCCTCATCACGGTGGTTGGAGCACCATCTGCAGTGGAGAAAAGACTCCAGCTCCCTACAGGCAGCCAAGGCTCATTGATGTAAGTGGGGAGCGAAGGCTGGCTTGTGTAGTCTGATCCAATAGAAAAACTACTGTAGCTCAGATTTCTGAAATAGCTAATGCTGGTTCAGAATGGTGTCAGAACACACAGTGCATTGCAGTTTGTTTCTTATGGAGTAGAGTAACTGCAGACCAGTCAGGGTGCCATGCTGACCCATGTCCACAGCCAAACAAATCTACAATGGGCATGTGAGCATCAGAACTGGACCACAGGAGAAATGGAAGAAGGTGGTCTAGTCTGATAAATTCAAGAAAGGTTAGCGGAAAGTTTGCAGTGTTGACTCCAAATTCTCCAGATCTCATTCTAAAACATCTAAAACAAGTCTGATCCACTGAGGCCTCAACCTGCAACTTACAGGACCTAAAGCATCTG